GTGTCCAAAACAATCAAAATACGTAGGATTCAACAAAGATAGGAAAGACTTAAACCTTGCAGGTTGTAAATCATTAGTGGAATAAAGAAGAGGATACCAGGAAACAGAAATATATTTCCTGTTCATGCGTTGAAGAGTTAACATTGTCAAAATGACCGTCATACCCAAAGCATTACACAGATTTAATGCAAAATTCTGATGGCATTCTTTATGGCTGTAATTTAAAATTACTAAAATTTGAGAAAGAATAATAAAACTCCCCATAGTCAAAGTAATTCTATTGAAAAAATAAGATGGGAGGTGAGTGCTGCATTTCTCTTTTTCTGTAAATAAGAAATTATTTTCTGAAATTTTTTAAACACTGGTTTACAAAGTTGCTTATAATGCAGTTGTTATGGACTTTCAATCAAGAATCAGGGACGCTGTCTCGTTTGCCAAGGTGTCGAAAATCAGATGGGCTGGTCACGTAATGAGATTTAAAGATGACCGCTGGACTAGAGCTGTTACCGACTGGATTCCACGGGATGTCAAAAGACCACGTGGCCGCCCACCTACCAGATGGTCAGACTTCTTCGTCAAGATCATGAACAATCGGTTTGAGGCTCTTCATGTTCCCGGAGCGAACAGATGCCACTGGGCTACACTAGCACGAAACAGGGACAAATGGAGACGTTACTGGCACCCCCTCGAGCAAGTCGACGACTAATGGGAAGTTAAGTGATTAAGTGATTAAGTGATGGACTTTCAATGTTGGAACACCAATCTCAACCCTAAGGTGACCTTCCCTCCACCATTGTCTCTATTTGCCAAACCACCCCAAGCCTAACCCCTTAGTAGACACACAATAATTTATTTTATGTTGCTGTTGCAACTAAATGAGTGAAAGAATAATAAAATATACTTTGTTAAAAGAAATTATGTGGTAATTGTTAAGTCCTTGTATGAGAATTTACTAAGCTCTTTATTGCTAATTGAACCTTCAGCGTAACGGTTTTTATTTGTTGAGTTTGGGTGGTTTCTGTGCTACTTTCCCCGTGTAATTTAGTGTGCTCCTACTGGAATTTCAGTATTGTCGAATTGGGAGGCGTCGTGGCCACATATGTGACAGCACAGTCCACACACTTTAGGATCTCCGGTCTGGGCCAATGAGTTGACATGGCAGTGGGTGTGGAAAGTGGAAAGTGGGCCTGTCCGCTGGGGCTTCCAGAAGTCCAAGGTGTGGGGGGTGGACGCTCCCCTCCCCTCCAGAAGGACCCTAGAGTTCTTAGCCTGGGTATGGAGTAGCTGAGATTTTTCACAGTTTGGTGTCTCTGCAGTGAAGCAGTAGTTGAGCCCTTGGCGTGGCAGCAGTGGTGGATGATGAGGGTGTGCCCCCAGGACTGTCCCCCCTGAGGGTGCCCCAGAGTTTTCACCCCGACATCCAGTGTGTTCATGAGTGTCAACTCCATCGCTGATGCAGCTGCCTTGCAGAGTTGGTCAAGCACCTGTAGAGCAGGCCCACGTGTGCGAGTCAGCTGGGCGGCTGGGGAAGGCGGGCCTGTATTTCATGATTTCAAATTATACTATAAAGCAATAGTAATTTTCAAACCGTGTAGTATTAGGATAATGGCTGATTTTCAGACTGGTGGAATAGACGTGAGAGGGTAGAGGTACCTCTGGGTGTATTGGCAGTTACTTTGTGATAGAACAGCCGCATGTTCAAAATGGCACAAGAAAAACCTCGCCAGAAAATTGTGTTGAGAAAAATGGATGATGCTACTTGGAAACAAACAAACAAACAGACAAAAGAATCTGGACTGGATTTTACACCATGTGCAAAGTTTAACTTAAATTTATCGAATAACTCAAGATTAGATGGGAATCCTTAAGATACTTTGAAGAAAACATAGGCAAAACTCTCCAAGATATGAACCTCAGAGATTTTTGCAGCGATTTGATTCCATTGGTAAAACCAAAACAAATATGAACAAATGGAACAGTAACAGACTGAAAAGTTTTGGTGTGACATGGAAACTTGAACTAAAATTAAAAGACACCCTACTGAACGGGAGACAACATTGCCTACCAGAGAGGAACAATCTCAGGACACTAATATCCAAGATGTATAAAGCATCTTGTATAAGGCTAAAAGACAAACAGAAACCAACAAGCCATGACTCCACCCCTAAATGGGGAGTCAGATGACACTCACCTGGAGAGGGCATGGATGGCTGTTGGACATATAAAAAGGTCTCACTTATTATCAAGGAAACAAACCCAAATCAAAATGACAATGATCTGTCTCATTCCACACAAATCATTCTATGGGATTGGATATATTCAAAAAGACTGGAAATAACCCGTGTTGCAGGGATGTGGCAAAAAAGGTTCTCATTCACTGTTGGTGGGAGTTTGCCTGGGTTAGCCTCAATGGCAAACCACGTGGATATTTCTTAGAAAAGTAACAGTAGGGATTCCATATGACAGAAACTTCAGGTTTTGACGTATGTCCCCCCCCCCCCCCCATGCAGAAGCATTACTTTGAAAACCTATATGCATGTCTAAGTTCATTGCAGCCCTTTGTAGAAACAACTAGTCTCATTTGCTGTTACATCAAAAAGCATAAAATATTGGGGACATTGTATGGAAACAAACAAACAAAAAATGTCACCTCGAGTAGCCACCAGAAGTGTCTTGTAATACGAAAGTGTTATAAAACTAAAGAAGTTGAAAAGTTTTGTATAGACATAAAATTAGACTCCTGTGTCAGTGAAACAGAATAAAGAGCCCAAATCTAAATCCAAGTATGTATGAGTAGTTAATTTATAGCAAAGGAGGCTAGAATGTACAAGGGGGGAAGGAATAGTTTCTACAGTTCATGTTTTTGGGAAAACTGGATAACCACATGAAAAAGAATGAAGCTGGGCCTCATGTAGTATTCACAAGTCAAACAAAATATATTAAAACCCTAAATATGAAAGACCTGAAGTCATAAAAATCACTGGAGAGAACATAGGCAGTAAGCTCCTTGACAGTGGTCAATGATAAATTTTTGAGTTTCACACCAAAAGCAAAGATGATAAAAGCATTCAACAAGTCAGACTATAGAAAATAAAAACACTTCTGCACAACGGAGGATACTTAAACAAAGCAAAAAAAAATAACCTATTCATGGGGGGAAATACTTGCATTTCTGTATCTGCTGAAGGGTCAGTATCTGCGCCATATGAAGAGTTCTGACAAATAGGAAAAAATACACAGTAAAAATGACCAGAGTATCTGAACAGACATTCCACCCTCCCCCGCAAGAACACATAGATAGCCGACATGTTCAAGGAGAGGATGTTCAGCATCACTGATTGTCAGGGAAACCCCAGTTCAAACCACAGTGAAAGAGAACAGCATACCTGCCAGCGTGGCTGTTCTCAAAAAGACACAGAATCACCAATGTTGGTAGGACTATGGACAGATGGGAACACTCGTGCACTGTTGAGGGGAATGTAAGTTGGAACAATCACTATGGAAATAAGTAATTTTCTCAAGAAATTGAATATTGAACTCAGCACACAACCCAGCAATTTAATTGTATTCAAAGAAAATGAAACCACAGACTCAAAAGGATGTATATACTCCCATGTTTACTGCAGTTTTAATTAGAAATGCCAACATGCACGAACAACTTAAGTGCCCATCAGTTGTTGAATGGATGAGGAAAAATTGGCATGTACAGTGAAACATTGCTTAGTGAGGGGAGAAATATTCAAAGAAATGTGAGATGCTTCGGTTATTTTGAAAGCATCACAGGGTATCACTATGGAAATAGCCATCATCTAGCCTAATTATTCACCTTAGCTGTCATTAAGCTTTTCCAGCATTCATGGAGATGTTAGATGACACAGTACTGTGTCCTCTGGAAATTTATTTAGCCATTAAACTAGAATGAAATCTTGTCTTCAGAGAGGACATAGATGATGTTGAGGATTTTCTACCAATTACACAAAACTAAGGGAAATATGGTATGGTTCGCTCGTATGCGTAATATAATTTTAAAATAGCACGAGTTTGTGGATAGAGACAGTTTGATGTGGGATGCGGTGGGGAAAGTTGAAGGGGTAAAAGAGTCCAAGTCTCCTGTGGTGAAATGAGCAGGAAGCCCACATGGCCATGCCATGAAACTACACCAGGTCTCTGTGGATCCTACTTGGACACTGGGGCTGCAGAACATACTTGAACGTTGCCGAGCAAGGATGGCTTTAAAAAAATTTCTGTAAACCAAGTGAGCATTTACTTCTTTGGAATTAGTGCCCCTATAAAAAGGGGAATTTACTGTAAACAATAGGAGATAGGAATGTATTCATGAAATAACCTTTTTAACACCTACCACATACTATATTACGTTCTCCCGTTTTGTCCTATTGCTAGTTCGACTTGCCTTGAATACTAAATATGCAATAAATATTTGCCAAAATTACAAGTACTTTGTAACCTTAACTGCAGTCACTGAAGGAGTCTGGTGTAACTGAAATTGCCCACTGGGAAATAGCGCAAAAAGTGGTGCATTGTCTGTGGCTTAAAGTCACTGGAGTCATAATTTATTTTACTGTGTGTTTGTGGTGGTAAAGTACGTGTCACGTAATATTTTCCATGTTAACCACTTCCAGTTTGCAGTTCACGGGCATTTCTTGTCCTCAGTGTGTGGGACTGGCACCTTCCATCTGCTTGCCGTCTTCCCGTTGTCTATTGTTACTGTTTACTTGTTCTCGGTAATTTTAATAAATGAGCTCATGTTTGTTTGTTGAGTCTGGCCTATTTTCCCGACTGTCCTGTTTTCAAAGTATTTTTGGTGTGGTGTCTGTTTGGTTTCATTGCTTCTTAGTGAAAGATGAAGAATATTTTGTGTATATATATTTGAATTCACCATATATATTTATGGTAAATCAATCTTAGTAGAATGTGCTTTTTCTTAGATGTATGAAGATGTCACCTACATTAACACTCCTCGTCTCTGTTCTCTTTTCCAGGCTTGACAGATGAGAAAGTGAAGGCGTATCTCTCTCTTCACCCCCAGGTGTTAGATGAGTTTGTATCTGAAAGTGTCAGTGCAGAGACTGTAGAAAAGTGGCTGAAGAGAAAAAACAACAAACTAGAAGGTAAGATCGCATTTAGATTCGGTGTGGACTGATTTTTAGGTATTTTTAATACCTGGTATAAAGCAAAACAGAGAGACATATTAGCATTTTAATTCTGTTATGGCATTCTTTAAAAGAAAGTATATAAGAAAAAACCTTGGCAAATGACTCTTGAAAATGTATTTACGTATGGCTACATTGAAAAGCGAAGGGGTAGATATTGATTACACTTATTTTATTGAATATTATTAATATCATAGCATTTTGCATATTCCAAAGCTCTGTTGATACCGAATTTTCTAAGGAAGTCCTCGGTTTTTGTATGTGAACCTAGGAAAATGGCTTGAATTAGCATTTTCTTTCCTCCTTGTCAACTGGAGAAGCAAATGAGAAATTGAAAACATGAAATCTGAACTTGGGAGTATATGGAGTTAATGGAGTTTTCTCCAAACTGAAGATACATTAATATACTGGATGAGAACTTTGTGGTAGAATTTTAATTTTGGTTTTAAGTGGATTTTTGTTTTGCCAAACATGACTTGTCATTCCTATGAATGTTGCTTACTTAAAATAGTGTAAATTGATTTTATATATGCTCTTAACTATATATATGTAAAATACAAAGTATATGTTATTTTTCTGGAAATATATTTTAATGAAAGTATTTAAAATAGAGATGTCTTTATTAAAAGTGGTGCTATTATGTGGCTTAGAAATTATTTTCCTCATTTTAGTCTAGAAAGTTTCAACACTTATATAATTTTTATAATTAAAAAGGGTCACCTGTTATAAATAGGCTTTCAGCATTGAAGCAGAGCTTACGTACATGGGTATGTGCTGTGAATGTGTATGTTTGTACATGTGGATTAAGAGGGAGAGAGAAATAGAAATAAACCAGTGGAAAGAATGTATTTTTGAAACAACCAGAGCATTTAACAGTAGGAACAGAGCAGGAAGCTGCAGTTTTGGGTAGTTTAGACCTCAGATACTGGGAAACAGTTTGAGGTGTTCTTAAAAATAATTGAATAGTGCTTAAGGTGCTTTGTGTAAAAATGCTAATTTCAGCCTGCTTTATAATTATATTCAATGTTATAATCCAAGGATACCAGCTATTGTCAAATTGAGGGCGAGAGGTCTTAGAAGTGGAAATATTTGCTATGTTGGTTAGTGCTAGTTAATTTTTAATATTTTATAAACATTTGAATGGGTCATTCAAGAGCTTCCTAATCTTTTTGATATATCGTTAATCAAATAATACTTTAAACTGTCCAATACACATAATCAAGAGAGAAATGGTGGTTAAGAATAGCCGTGCATCATCAGATCAGACTCAGTTATACTGGATCAAATGTCCTTATAAGGAGCTAGTTTCTAAAGTCCGACTGTTGTTGAGACCATGAGTGAAAGCAGTGTGGTGGGGATGCTGGCTTGGAGCCAGCCAGCTCTAGCCGGCTGGGGGCGGGGAAGGAGGGAAGGACCTTGTGACAGCACCCCCACTTGGCAACTGTTTGCAGGAGTTTTGGCCCCCTGAAGAGAGCCTTCACACCTCTTCTTCCAAGTTCATAAGAAAGCCCCTCGCCACTCATTCGCATAGCTTCTGTCCCCAGCACTGGCTGATGAATATGAATCAGCTTTATTGCCACCCTTGGACTGGTCTGAAGAAAGCATTGCCCCTCTCTGGAAATGTGAAGCCAAGTGAAATGAAATAACTCTATCAAGATGGTTATGGATCAAGGCCATGGTCATTTCTTTTACCCGAGCTCCCTTACTATTTTCTGCCTTCCTCTGCTTGCCCTTGTCTTCCCCAAGTTTCTTTAGTGGGGCTGGGGGAGAGGATGGGAGAGGGCACACCCAGTGGTCTCAGGGCTCAATCCTGACTCAGTGCTCAGGAATCGCTTCTGGGGGGCTTAGGGGACCATATGGGTGCCTGGGATCCAGTCTGGGTCAGCTGCGTGCAAGGCAAGTGCCCCACCCTCTGCACTGTCTCTGGCCCTGTCCTCCCAAATCTCATCATTGAGTGTGCCTGGAGGAGGACGTTCTTTGTGGGGAGGGTTTCCAAGGGGGATGCTTTTATTCTTGCGTCTGGATCGAGAAACAAACTCTTCCAGGTAGAAGATCTTGGAAGAGTGTTGGACATGGCTTCTCCAGATTGTCATTTAGTGAAAGAAACTCAGTACTAAGTATTGGCAAGTCTGCTGGAATAAAAAGTTTGCACAGTGCTTCCGGCATTGCTAAACCCCACAGGTGCTTGATCTTTGAAGTCACTGGGGTGGTCTCCATCTTGCATCCTGGGCAGGGCTGCCCCCGGCCTGCCGTGACCAGGGGAGGAGCAGCAGCGTCACTTGACGCTGGGGGTCACTTTCTCAGGATTTGCTTCTCATGCTTCCCAGTGGGCACTGGGTGGTTTCCTCTGTGGGGGGTAGGCAGTGGGTGAGTCATCAGGGTCCCGAGGCGCACAGTGGGTAGAGACCCCGTATAAAGTTGCAGCTTGCCTAGAGCCTTTGGCCTTACATAAACATTCTAGTGGCAAAAGGGACATGTAAGTTACAAAATTATGTTAGTTGGTAAGAGGGTCTGTTTCAGACTGCTAGTGTTTTTTGTTTGTTTGCTTTTGGGTCCCACCTGTGCTGGGGGGCCCAGGCGGTGCTGCCATCCAGACATACCACCTGCCCCGCGCCCTCTGCCGTGTTCTCTCTCTGACCCCGCTTCCTACTTTACGTGGTCAGAAAGACTCATTTTCACTCAGTTTTATTGAGCATTTACTCTTGTAGACAAAATGCTTAAAAACAGAGACTACACCAAGCATTTCGTTTGATGTTTAGTAGCATTCATGATGCGGTGGAGTCAAATTTGAGAGTTGGTTCTGATTTCCTGGGCAGTTTATATGCTCCCTCCGTTCAGTCTGTTCACAGTTAGGGAAGATTCGGTGAAGCTGTGTCTGTTGGCAGATGTTTACACTGACATGATCCCAAGGGAGCCTGCATACCCCTAACCCCCAACACACACAGATGCTGAGTGAGCCAGTGAGATGCGTGTCGCTACACATTGTGTATTTGCATTATTGTAGACACGAGACATGTCACTGTTCTCCCGTTGTTCATCAGTTTTCTCGAGCGGGCCCAGTAACATCTCCATTGGAGACTTTGTTGTTACTGTGTTTGGCATATCGAATACGTCACGGGGAGCTTGCCAGGCTCTGCCCTGCGGGCGAGATACTCTCGGTAGCTTGCCGGGCTCTCCGAGAGGGGCGGAGGAATCGAACCCGGCTCAGCCGGGCTGGCTGCGTACAAGGCAAACGCCCTACCGCTGTGCTATCACTCCAGCCCATTGTAGACACGGAGCTACTTATATGCTCCTCAGGTCTTTCCATACCATCTCAGAGCTTCTTGAGGGAAGGGAATTTACACGCATGCATGTGCACACATGCACACACATATGTGTGCGCGCGCACACACACATACACACACACTTCTTGAGGTTTCCTATCTTATTATAACCTCTACTCTGTAAAAGTCCTGTTAGCGCAACTGAGATTCTTCAGTTTTTAAGACTTCATAGTCTGCCAAATAGAATGGACAGGCTGGAGTTTCTGCATTTCCTTAGTGCTCTGCCAGGCTGAGGGACTCTAGATCCAAGTCTTCCTCAAGGCCATGGATGTGAAGCTGTGGGCGGGATCCTTGTGAATGCGGCTGTCTTTGTTTGTTAAGAGAGGAGGGGCTTGGGGAGAGGAGACCCCCACAGTCCTCAGAGAGACATTTCAAAAGCATTTACCATTACTGCTTAATTGTATTGTATTCATACCATTTTCTTTCTAAACACACAAGATTTTATTTGTAACTGTGAGGCAAATTGCCTTTTGAAAATTGACCTCTGATTCTAAATTCTTTTTTTTTTTTTTTAGAAAAAATTTTATTGAATCACCATGAGACAGTTACAGGCTTTCATGTTTGAGTTACAATCACACAATGATCAAACACCCATCCCTCCACCAGTGGACATTCCCCACCACCAATATCCCTGGTATACGCGCCCCCCCCCTTCCCACACTCTCCTGCCTCCATGGCAGACAATATTCCCCATAATCTCTCTCTACTTTTGGGTATTATCGTTTGCAATACAGACCCTGAGAGGTTATCATGTTTGGTCCTTTATCTACTTTCTGCACACATCTCCCGTCCCAACCAGTTCTTCCAGCCATCTCTGATTCTAAATTCTAAACAGTTGATTTTCAAATGTTGTTTGGAAATTGAAGATAGCATTTGTTTATTTTACAACCCAAAATACTCATTTAGAAAAGGTAAAAAATCTTTTTTTTCCATTAGCTTTTGGTCCTATACACTTTGAACATTGATAGTTCCACTTTGAAAAATCGTAGTAGAGAAAATGAATATTATCTAGGTCAAGACCTCTTCCACTCAATATTACATTTTTGTGGAGATTTTCTTCTTTTGGCATTTTACTGTTTCAAACCATGTGAAATAATAATTTTTATGCAATTCCATAAAACGTGTTAAACAGAAGCATGGAAGTGCCCAAAACTTAAGTCCGGGGCCTGATGAGGGCTTGGGGCCTTGGGCTCGGCACGGGTACAATGCCAGCACCTGCGTCTGCACTGAGGGGCTCCGTCAGCTCAGCGGAGCCAGGGACCCGTATCTCGGAGGTACTTTGTATGCGAAGTGAAACTGACAGGTCCCGCTGGTACTCATCAGGACTCATATCTCTAAATTCACACATGTGCATGCATCAAAGTGTAGATATAAATATGAAACAAACACATCCGCATTGCATGGAACGATGCTCTAATAACCCTTTGCATATTTCATCGGCACCTACTAAGGAGGATGAGGAGCTGCACCCCAACACCTGTCCAGAACTTCAGGGACATGAAAGCAGAATCACGAGCTATGGCTTCTAATGAAAAAGCTAATTGACATTGTTGGTAGTATCGAAAAGTGCACGAAGAAACGAGAACATTGGACGTTGACATATATCTGGTATCCTCTGATATTACAATGAGATTT